TTTTCTTTCTCTTTCTGGCTTAACTTCACTTAGAATAACGATCTCTAGGTCCATTCATGTTGTTGCAAATGGCATTATTTTATTATTTTTGTGGGTGAGTAGTATTCCATTGTATAAATATACCACAGCTTCTTTATCCAGTCATCTGTCAGTGGACATTTAGGTTGTTTCCATGTCTTGGCTATTGTAAATAGTGCTGCTATGAATGTTGGGGTGCATGTGTCTTTTTGAATTAGAGTTCCCTCCAGATATATGCCCAGGAGTGGGATTGCTGGATCATATGGTAAGTCTATTTTTAATCTTTTGAGGAATCTCAATACTGTTTTCCATATTGGCTTCACCAAACTACATTCCCACCAACAGTATAGGAGGGTTCCCTTTTCTCCACAGTCTCTCTAGCATTTATTGTTTGTGGATTTATTTAAATTTTTTTATTGAAGTACAGTCAGTTACCATGTGTCAGTTTCTGGTGTACAGTACAGTCTCCCAGTCATGCATATATATACATATATTTGTTTTCATATTCTTTTTCATTAAAGCTTATTACAAGATACTGAACATATTTCCCTGTGCTATACAGAAGAAACTTTTAAAAATCAATTTTTATATACAGTGGCTAACATTTGCAAATCTCAAACTCCCAAATTTATCCCTTCCCACCCCCTTTCCCTGGTAACCATAAGATTGTTTACTATGTCTGCAAGTCTGCTTCTGTTTTGTAGATGAGTTCATAGTGTACTTTTTCTTTTTTTTTTAGATTGCGCATGTGAGTGATATCATACCGTATTTTTCTTTCCCTTTCTGGCTTACTTCACTTAGAATGACGATCTCTAGGTCCATCCATGCTGCTGCAAATGGCATTGTTTTATTCTTTTTTACGGCTGAATAGTATTCCATTGTATAAATATACCACAACTTCTTCATCCAGTCATCTGTAAATGGACATTTAAGGATGTTTCCATGTCTTGGCTATTGTATATAGTGCTGCTGTGAACGTTGGGGTGTGTGTATCTTTTCAAATTAAGAGTTCCTTCCGTATATATGCCCAGGAGTGGGATTGCTTGATCATACGGTAAGTCTATTTTTAATCTTTTGAGGAATCTCCATCCTGTTTTCCATAATGGCTTCACCAAACTACATTCCCAACAGCAGCATAGGAGGGTTCCCTTTTCTCCACAGCCTCTACAGCATTTTTCGTTTGTGGGCTTTTGAATGATGGCCATTGTGACTGGTGTGAGGTGATACCTCCTTGTAGTTTTGATTTGCATGTCTCTGTAATTAGTGATATTGAGCATTTTTTCATGTGCCTGTTGGCCATTTGTATGCCTTCATTAGAGAATTGCTTGTTCAGGTCTTCTGCACATTTTTGGGCTGGGTTGTTTGGGGTTTTTGTTTTTTTTTGTCATTAGGTTGTATTTGTCATTGTCATTAAGTAGATATTGAGCCCTTGTCAGTCTTATCTTTTGCAAATATTTTCTCCCATTCTGTAGGTTGTCTTTTTGTTTTACTTATGGTTTCCTTTGTTGTGCAAAAGCTAATGAGTTTAATAGGTCCCATTTGTTTATTTTTGCTTTTATTTCTATTGCCTGGGTAGACTGCCCTAGAGTATTGCTTAGATTTATGTCAGAGAATGTTTTGCCTATGTTTTCTTCTAGGAGGGTTATTATGTCTTGCCTTATACTTAAATCTTTAAGCCATTTTGAGTTTATTTTTGTATATGGTGTTAGAGAATGTTCTAATTTCATTTTTTAACATGTAGCTGTCCAGTTTTCCCAGCACCATTTATTTTTGTTTGTTTTGTTTTTAAATGAAGATTTTATTTTTAGAGCAGGTTTAGGTTCACAGTAAAATCAAGCGGTGCGTAGAGTTCTCTTGTACCCTGCTCATGCACAGACCCCACCGTTATAAACACCCCCCACCGCCACCCCCAGAGTACTATATATATAATTTTTTTTCTACCAAGGAAGAACCTATATTGACACATCATAATTTAGATCATAATCATCCAAAAACCATTAGATTCACTCTTGATGTTGTACATTTTATGAGTTTGGACAAATGTGTAATGACAGGTATCCATCATTATAGAATCTCAAAGAGTATTTTCAGTGCCCTAAGTTTCCTCTGTTCTCTGCTTATTCTTCACCACCTACCCCCCATCCTAAACCCTACCAGCACCACTAATTGAAGAGACTGTCTTTTCTCCATTGTATATTCTTGCTTCCTTTGTCTTAAATTAATTGACAAAAAAAATGTGTGGGTTTATTTCTGGGATCTCTGTTCTGTTCCACTGATCTGTGTGTTTGTTTTTGTGCCAGTACCATAGTGTTTTGATTACAGAAGCTCTGTATTATAGTCTGAAGTCTGGGTATGTGATTCCTCCAGCTTTGTTCCTCTTTTTCAAGGTTCTTTTGGCTATTTGGGGTCCTTTGTGTTTCCATACAAAATTTAAAATTATTTATTCTAGTTCTGTGAAAAATGCCATTGGTATTTTGATAGGATTGCACTGAATCTGTAGCTCACCTTGGATAGTGTGGTCATTTTAACAATATTAATTCTTCCAATCTAAGAAACAGTGTATCTTTCCATCTGTTTGTTTTGTCCTGTGGGTTCTTTTGCTTCCTTTCCCTCTACAGCTTTTCTCTGCCTTTGAGGATTTGTGTAGGATTGAAAACACACTGAGCAGAGAGAAGACACGAGTTCTCATCCTTGTTCTGAGGCCTGACCAGCAGGACAGCTTTGGCTGCTGTCACAGCCTCTGAGAAGCCCTGTCTTCCCATCTGCCAGGTGTGCATACAATACCCACCCCTGTCAGGGTGGTTGTGAGGACCCAGTCATGGCTTTGAGCCAGTGTGTCATTTCTGGGTGTCCCCTCTGCAGCCTGATCTGCCACGTGGTGAGCTCCCCTGCAATCGCAGTTAAAACTCTCTACAGGCTGCAAATGATCACCCAGGAAGGGAACTGAGGATCCCCAAAGCAAGTCACTCAGTTGGCCGTCACTGAGGCCAGGGGGGCCAGGCTATGGACAGCGTAGCGTCCTGTGCCCCAGACCCACAAGAGGCTCCCTTAAGAGTTGTATCACCCAGAGCCATTTACTGAGACAGCTTTTGTGTTCTGATTCTAAAAGTCACCCATGCTCATTGATGAGAACGTGGAATGTGCAGGAAGCCTACAGAAATAAAACTAAAATCCATCCCTAAACCCCAGATTCCATGATGACGTCAGATGAAGCTTTGCTTTCCTCTCGTCACCACGGGGACAGGACTTCCCAGCGTATGTAAACCTGTATTAGCACCACTTTTGATAGCTGCATAGTGTTCTGTTTTATAGAATAATTTACTTAGCTGTTATTATTAGACATTTTTTTGTTTCCAACTTCTCATAACTCCACATTCAAGACTGTATTATATAAGTCTTTGGGTCTCAGATTTTAGCTTTTTTATTGGGAAATACTTTCAGACTTAACCAAAAAATGGTAAAATAGTACAAAGAGCTTCCGTATGTCTTTCCAAATGTAAACATTTTATAAAACCATAATACAAATATCAAAACCTGGAAATTTATTGGTAGAGTACTGTTAACTAATCTGTGTACTTAATTCAGATTTCTGCAGTTGTCTCACGAGTCTCCTCTGTTCCAGGATGCAACTGCATCATTTTTCCTGGCTCTTTAGTCTCCTATCCATGACAGTTCCTCAGTCTTTGTCTTTCATGAGCTTGACAGTTTCTGTAATTGAGGTGAAATTCACGTAAAACCAACCGCTCTGAAGGGTGTAGCTGAGCAGCATTTAGTACATTCACAGTGTTGTACAGCTCCCCCTTCTGTCTGGTTTCAAAACGATTCATCAGACTTGGAGATTGCAGAGGCCACGCAGCCTGCCACCTGTGGTGGTCTGAAGTTTCCTCACAGTTAGGCTGAGATTGTGCACTTGGGGCAGGAAGACCAGTGAGGTGGTGGTGCGTCCCGAGGGGTGCCGTACCCACGGTGATGCTCATACATCTCACGGTTGGCGATGTTGACTGCCACTCCGTTCAGGCGATGTCTGCAAGGTTTCCTTACTGAAAAGTGACTGTCTAACCGTCTGTAATTAGGAAGTATCTTACAAGGAGATAACTTGAGAGTGGGTTCTTTACCATGTTTTCAAAAGCGAGGAAACAAATCCCGGAGGCGGTATGGGGAGAAAGTGCTGGAGAGGAGCCGGCCCAGGGCGTGGGCGGGGCTGGGGCTGTGCGCCTGCCTCAGCTTCTCTTTCTGCACAAGAGAAAGGATTATGCCGGTTGTGTAAGGATCTAAGGTCGAAAGGAAGAGAAACGCTAGACCTAGGCAGGCAGAAACGGTTCCGAGGTGGAAAGCGTGTCGGTGAGCCGTCCCTGTGCGGGGCCACCCCAGCACGAGCCTCTGCGGAGGGTGCTTTGGGCCTAAGGATCTGGCCTGGCTGCGCCTTTAACTCCTTTGGCTTCTGCCCCTCCCTGACACCCTCTCCCTGTGGCCCTGTGCAGCCGAAGCCCAGAGGCAGGTGAGTGGGCAGCTGGGAGAGGCCGCAGGGTGCACCCACTGCACGTGCAGGCCCGCGGCCGCCCCGAGCACCTCCAGCTGCATGTTGGCTGCTCGCTGTGCACACATCTGCTTCCTCATCTCACGTGCTGTGTGTCCTGTGCTGTCCCCAGAATCCCTCCATGCTCCGTCATGCCTCTGCCACCTGCTGTTGGGGGTGGGTGGCCCAGGATCCCTGGGGAAGGTCGTCTTTCTCTGTGGTCTCAGGACAGGTGGCCCAGCTCACGCCTACAGAGGCCACTGGGCAGCCTGGGCCCCAGGCAACGGCGGGTCTTACTGAGCGAGGCCAGCACCCCGGGGCCCCTGGGGGAGGAAAGGAGGCTGGTGGGGGGAAACACAGGCCCCGCTTGCTGTCCCGCTCTGTGCCCCTCCGGTGCTGTGCTCTCGAGGACGAGGACACCCTGCCCGCCCCGCTGACCCTCTCTATATCCCCCTTGTCCTTCCAGGGCATTGAGCGCCTCAAACGAAAGAACCAGCCCAGGGAACACACTGGCAGCTGGAAGACAGTCAAAGAGGCCTTTGGTGGGGACTTTTCCCTGAACTGGTTCAACCCCTTCTCCAGACCACGTCATCCAAAGCCTCTCAGTGACAGGGACTGGGTGCGACAGGTGGCATCGCTGTCAGACTTGGAGAACACAGAGACAACAGAGGAGCAGACGGAGGAGAGGAAGGACACGGACTCTGCGGAGGTGACAGATGAGTGATGCGGTGAGCGAGGGCCGGGCCCGGCAGAGTGGCTGGGGGGCGACATGTGCTCCCCCACACCCGCTGCTCCCCTCGCACCAGCCCCTCTGCTGTGCTGCCCTGGGGACTCCCCCCAATGCTAGCCTGGTCTGGAGTCGGTGGACTGGGAGTGACAGAGGATGAGACACCTGCTCTGAGCTCCTGTGCCCATGAGGGAGTGTCAGGAACCATTCTCCCAGGCCGGGGCGCCCTTTACAGCTTGCCCAGCCTCCCCCAGCAAAGGAATCTCTGAACAGGGTTGCCCAGGGGCAGAACAGAACTTACCTTCTGGCCTTTCTTGAGATGTCTGTCTTCTCTTGAGAAAGTTGGGGCCCTGGCTCCTGGGTTTTGAGAACCGAGGCTGTGAGGCTGTGGCGGAAGACAGAGCAAGGCCCTGGGAACCAGGGGTGGGACACCGGGAGCAGCAGAGACCAGCCTGCAGAGGCTGGAAGGATCCCAGGCCCTCCTCCAAAGGGGTTTCCCCACTGCCTGCCTGAACTAGGAGGAAGGCCATGCTGGGCTTGAGCGAGGACCCCAGCACTAAGCTGTACACACGCGTGCGGGGCACACCCGGGAATTCCAGACACTAGAATCCCTGAGTCAGACAGCTGGGAGCCGTCCTGCCTTGTGGCTACAAGTCTGTTCCCAGGGGAAGGTCAGGAGAGGACCTCTTAGGCACTCCTGGGATGCTGGCCTCCGCCCTGAGAACTGAATTTAACTGCCCCTCCTGGAAAGTTTAACCACCAACACAGGCAGAACTGACCAGAAACGCGGCCTGCGTGTTTTAGGCCAGTTCTCCCAAGATAGTGGCCATCGCGTCTCTGAAAGGATAGGTGGTGGCAGGGCCTGCAGATTGAGAGCCAGGCAGACAGCCATACACCCCCGCAGGACCAGGCTGAGCCGGGACCCTAGTCACCCCCTTTGAAGGCTGAGGTGTCCGTGATCAGCACTGACAGCCTGAGCAGGGCTTCTAGGCTCAAACTCCGCCCCACTAGTTGCTGAAGCAGCATCTTCCACACAAAGTCCAGCAGAGGGTTTGTGCCCCATGTGGTGTAAGAATGGACTCCCCACCCCCACTCCCCAGCATGCGTCTTCATTCTCTCTGGTCTGTTCCCCTGGTGGTGACACCAACATCGGTGGCAGTGTGGGCAGACAGGCAGAGCCTGCCCACGCGACGTCCCTGATTCAGGGCCCCTCTCCTGGCTGCAGGCAAGAGAGTGAGTCCTAGTCCAGAGGGGCCTGTAGCCCCAGTTAAACATGGGGGAGGGGCAGCCCTGCACAGGTATGAAGGCTGTGGTGCCTAGGGGAAAGGAGGGCCAGGTCCTGGTGCCGCTGTCAGAGGGCACCCCTGCCTCCACCCGACGACCCAGGCTCCGGGGCCTCCCCCGCCTGGTCCCAGCGCGCTGATGCCATCCCCCAGGAGGGCGGCCGCTGGGCTCCAGCCTTGACAGAGCAACTGGAAGGTGCGGGCTCTTCCACACCCGGACAGCAGGCCTCGTTTGTGGGTCCCTGTCAGCTTTAATACTTATTACTGACAATGTAAGGCTGAGTGGCTCTGCAGCCCATTAACTCAGTCTGGGCGTGGCCTGGCCTTGGAGGCCGGCTGTGTTTCCTCGCCCAGAAGGCAGGCCTGATGGACTGTACACCAGACTCCACATCAGTGAGGAAAGGATGCTAAGCCCTTGAGTCCCCGAGGAGGCTGTGGTTAGACTCAGGGAAGAGGGTTTGCTGGCCACTGCGAACCGCAGTCTCTGCTGTGTGCAAGCCTGAGGTCAGAGGTGTGTGCTACCCACAAGGCCCTTGAGAAATTTCCTTGCATGATGGATTTGAAACCCGTGTTCCTCTGGCCAGCCTGGCCTGAGAATGGCGGTGCCCACCAGCCCCAAAGTCAGGCCTGTGTTCAGATTGGTGGGCGGGTCCGTCCGCTCTGGACCTCAGCCAGGTCAGACCGCGTCCTGGGAGGGTGGGGCCTGGCCCCAGCCGGGCTGGCTGGGGACAACCTGCCCACCCCTGAGCCTCGGGTCCTGCCAGTGCCACAGCTGTGTCACCACGGCCACTGTGGACAGCGTAACATTCTGCTCAGCCCCAGACAGCACTGCAGCTGACAGCAGCACAGGACGAGGGCTGCAGGCAGGGGAACTGGGCACAAGCCTCTGCCTCTTTGAATAAAAAGCTCAATTCCGCCTCGGTCACTGGAGTCTCCTGTCCAGAGGCCCAGGCCAGCCCCGGGGGCAGCGCCCCCTCTCAGGTCAGCGAGGGGACAACTCTAAGGAAGCCTCTTCTCTACCATTTCTGGCCTGGGAGGCAGGTGAGTGTCACACAGCACAGACTTACCAGCTTCACCCTTGGCTCTGGATCATCTTGTGAGATCTCCAGCAGGAGGAAAATGCACCTTCCTGTAATGAGCATTTATTGAGCACCTACTGTTGACATTTGGGCCAAGAGTGCCCAGCATTGAAGGTTTTTGACTTGAGCGCCCAGGCCCCCCACCTCTTACTGTCATAAATTACGCACAAAATACCCCTCATTTAGCCCCACAGTACCTCTGCCAGAGGGTGTCCAGTTGGAGTTATAGCCATGGGAGGAGTAGGTGTCCTGCACAGGGGCCAGAACAAAGAAGTCGACCCCTCCGAGAGTCCTCTGCCCTAGGAAGTCAGATGATCAGACGGCCCCGGATGTTCCCACATGATCCCAGCAGAAGACACAAAGCAGCTTGCTCACAGGAAAAAAGTGACCCAGGGGACCACACATTCTGTGGCTTCAAAATGACTAATTAAAAGCATATTGGTCATTTGAACATGTCTCAGGAGGGCGGCACAGGAAAGGGCTTCCCGTTGGCACAAGGAGGTGCCTGCTCTAGGATGACAACCACTCCCAGGAACAAACCCCTGCTCGAAGGGAGGGGGTGCTGCGGGCTGGGGTCATCGCCAGCAGGTCCCTGAGCTGCTTCCAGGCCAGCCCTTGGGGCCGTCAGGACAGGTGAGGTGAGGGGGTGGGCAAGGCGGAAGGCTTTAAGTGGGGCACCCCTGGGGATATCTTCACCGCAGTGGTCAGAAAGGGGCCCCTTGTTGAGGACCCTTCTCCTCAGACTGGTCAAAGTCAGGACCCCTCTGGTGGGCCTGCACCCTGAGTGAGGCCCGCAGGGTCGCACAGGCAGCTCTGTTCCTGGGGGTGGGGAGGGTGGGCGGTACAGAGGGATGTCTTACATCCTTGGCCATGAGAGGGGCTGAAATGGAGGAGAGGGAGGAGTTGAAGCAACAGGCTCGGCCAAGTCACAGACCGGTCTAGGGCCACAGCCAAGGTGGGTCCTAAGGGAAGGCGTTCCTGCACAGGGAGGCTCAAGTCCAGGGGCTCAGGCTGGCTGGCCTGTGTGCAAGGGATGCTCTCTCCCAACGCTGCCTGGGGGTCGGGGGTCTTTTTCACATGTGACTGAAATGCCTGGGTGGGACCGAGGTGAAGGAGGCTGTGGGCTTCCTTGGAGAAGGTTCAGGGACCAGGTGGAGGGAGCAGGGGTGCGGGGCCCCCTCGCGAGGAGAGGCGGGGCTGGTCATCATCTGCCTCCCTCCCCACACTGAACCCCATGAAGTCTCATGACTTTAACTTACCAACACCAAGCAGGGGAGCCACTGGGTCATCCGCCACCACCAAGGGGCTGGGGAGTCGAACACAAAGACTAGGAACTCCTACTGACCTGCCGGTACCACAACAGTTCACCCAGCCCTGGGGAGCCGTAAAGGCCATGAAGTTGGGTTTAAGGTGCCGCAGTTTCAAGTTGTCTGAAGTTGTCAAAAGTCAAAGGTGGACAGACACCACGTGGCTCTCAGTCCTGCTTCTGGTTTGGTAGGCAGGCCTGGGCTCGGTGAGTGCAGAGGTCCGAGGGAAAGGCCCCGTCCACCTGCCGGGACTCAGGGGGCAAGGAGGGATGGGGTGGGGCATCTGGGAGCGCAAGCCCGTGGACTCCAAGCAGACAACAGAGCAGCCCCAGCCCCGCTGCGGGAAGACGCCACGGGGCAGGTGCTTCCCAGGCAGACGTGCCCGGAGCTGAAGAGCAGGTATCTTCTCACGGGGCGGGGAGCTCTGGGCTTCCGATGGCCTATGGCTCCAGGGAAGGACCTGTGGCCATGGATGCCTTTAGTTCTGGCTGCAGACAGCGTGGCCTGCTCCCTGAGGCCATGACTCAAGGCAGGGTTGTGGGGTTCTGTGGCCCAGGCTGGGCGTCTGATCTGAAAGCTAATTCCAAATCAGGAAATGCTCAGTCAAGGCTCAGAGCCAGTCAGAGCTCCTGCCTCTTTCCGCAGCATCAGGCAGAGGCTAGCTGGGGTTGAGAATAGTCTTCTCAGCAGGAACCTCTTTGTCCCCTGATTGGAACTAAACTTGATAAATTTCTTGGGTACCTTTTATTTGGAATCTGATAGTCTCACCTTGCTTCACCATCCTGGAAAATTCAAAAAACACAGACATGTGGTCAGCCAAGGGTGACGGCGGAGAGGGGAGGTGAGCTGTGTGCAGAGCCGGGAGTCCCAGCCTCCGGTCAGCCTCTGTGAAAGGTCCTGGCCATCACTGGGCACAGCACAAGGGACGCTCCCACTGGGTGCTGTTCGAAGCACCCAGGGAGCTTCTGACAAACACTGGTGATTAGGCCCCAGGCTGGAGAGTCGGACACAGCTGGTCAGTGTTGGAACCTGCTGCGAGGGGGGCCCACCAGTGACATCTCAGCTGTTGGCAGCACTGTTTTATAAACTCACAAGCCAAGGACAAGTTCAGTCTCTGACCTGCTGTGTCCACACTGATTTTTACAACTTGAATTCTTGCCATCTTTTCAGACCCAGAGGCTTTATAGTGTAGAAGACCACACACACTCCTCCAGCTTATTATGAAAGGTCAGAAGGTCCAGAAGTGTGGGGCCCAGGTTCCTACCCTGTCTTGGTTAGCCGAGACGAGTGGCAGCACCCACTCCTGTTCATCCATGACACCCACCGCCAACTGGTCCATCCAGTTCGAGTCTGCACCCCCCTGGTCTATGGACTTCTTCACTCACCAGCACCCTGGGGGAAGACAGCGTGGCCTCTGGAGCCAGACAGACCTGGGTCCCCTTAAGCACTCAAGCCATCATCTGTCCCTTCTCTTACTGTTCAGCCCATTTGACTCTCACAGCCATCCCAACCAATGGACAGGTAACATTATCCCCACTTTATAGATGAGGAAACTGAGGCTCAGATTCTGAGGCTTGTCAAAGGCCAGTCCCCAACTAATTAGAATAAACTGGCCCCAGGATGGCACTCACAAATCTGGGACCCCAAGCTTTGATGCTTTCGATGACAGTCACTTCCCTGGACCTCAGTTTTCTCAAATGTAAAGCAAGGTGCTGGTTTCCGGGGCCTCTTCCAACTCCGACCTTTCACAAGCCCTCCTGGCCACCCTTGCCTGGGGGTACATATGCTCTTGCTCCATGGGCATGAGCAACAGTTGTCTCCTGTATGAAAATCCAAGAGGAACATCTGTTTTACGATGAATCACATGAATCACCCAGCCTCTCATGATTACAGTGTGGTCTGGGGCCGCAACACCAGCAACCCCTCGGAGCCTGTTAGAAACAGTCTCTGAGCGCACACACAGCCTTTGGAGTCGGAATACCACCCATTTTTACAAAACTTCAGTTAATTGGTCTGTACCTTAAGGTCTAAGGAAAATAGTAATCTACCGGTTTTTCCTTGGAGTATTCAGACACCCTATAAGAAACAGACCATCAGAAACCTTTCAGGAACAAACCTTTAGAGTTTGGTCAAGTCCTTTGCTGGGTATCAGCATATCAAAATCGTTTGCATGCAGTCCAGCAAGCAATTACAAAATATAATGAAAAATATTTCATTCACAAAAGCTATAAAAACATCTCAGAAGTAACCCAACTAGGAATGTGAGAGTTATATACAAAGGAAACAGTAAAACTTAAATGTAACAAAGACAACCTGGTAAATGGAATAATATCCCACATACCTGGATGTAAGACTCATTGTCATTTGGCTTGGTTCTCCCCAAATAAACTGATAAATTCAATGCTGTACAAATCTCAATCTCCCGACAGTTTTTTGTTTTTGTTTTTTAATTTGGGGGGGGGAATTAGGTTTTACGTACTTATTTTTGGAGGAGGAACTGGGGATTGAACCCAGGACCTTATGAATGCTAGGCATGTGCTCTGCCACCTGAGCTATACCCCACCCCCCTCAATCCCAACAATTTTTATAAGTTCTATGGACAAGAAAAATGGGAGTAGGGGGCATTAGCCTACTATATACCAATACGTACTACAGAACTACAATAATTTAGTGTAACATTGCATTAGAAGATAAGTGAGAAAATTTAAGAGTCCAGAGACCCAGATATGTATCAAAATTAAAAGTAGCATTTCAAAACATTAGGAAATGAAAGATTACTTGACCAAGTTGGGGCTCTACATCACTCCACACCCCCCAAAATTAAATTCCATATGCCTAATAGTATAAACAAAGTCAAAATTTTTAGAAAAAGCATAGGGAGTATTTCTATATTCTTAGGGTGATGTGAAACCTAATATCCTTAAAGGGAAAAATTAACTACATTATGGCTACATTAAAATTAAAAGGTTCTAATGGTGAAAGGCATGTAAAGGTTAAAAAAATAGATGATGATAAATGATTTGCAACAGTAACCCTCTTTACTATATAAGGACTACACACAAACTAATACAAAAAATTAATGACTCAAATAGGCAAAGGATATGATCAGGCAACAAATAGTCAATTAACATAAAAATATTCAGCCTCATAAATAATCAGATGCAAATTAAAACAGATGATTCAACCATGATGTTGGCAAAAATCAAAAAGATCTGTTGGTGGAGGATGTATCAATGTAATCTTTTCCCAAAGCAATTTGACATTAGCAAAATGTATCTATATATTCTGACCCTATAACCCACTACTGGGAAATCACATCTCAGAAATACCTGCACACATGAGCAGAGATACGTCCTGTTGAGTTCGTCCTGCCCTGTTTGTAAGAACAGCTTAAGCAGTCTCACCCTTGGTCAACAGTCTGCAGCGGCGAGACGCCCAGGCTTTCCACGGAGAACTTGGTGCCTGTCAAAGGGAAGTGCGGGGTGTCCCTGAAGACGCAAGTGCCGAGAAGTGGCTTGGCTGGCGGGGTCCGTGTGCGAGAGGCAGCTGGGGGCGGGGGGTGGCTGAGGAGCGGGGAGAAGACACACGTGAGTCAGGCACATGTTCTCAGGTGAGTTACACCAGGAGCAGAAACACAATGACAAGTTGTATCAAGCCGGGAAAGAGTGTGTGTGCGTGTGTCTACAGACACACACATCTATGTATCTGAAGGCTTTAGGGGAGAATCTCTTCCATGCCTTTCTCTTAGCTTCTGGTGTTGCCAGAAGTCATATATGTTTGTATATAACCTGACATCCTGAGCTTTGTCAGACTCAAGACGTCATCCCGTGCCAGCCAGAGTTCCAGCCTGACCTGTATCCTGGCCGCTCTGCCGCCCTAATCAGGATCCCTCCTCACCAAACTAAGACCTTCCAGCACCGCCCAGCTCCAGCTGCAGCCTGTGGTTCTGAGATGCCCCCTCCAGCAGGACAGGTGCAGGGAGGCTTGAAACATGGGACATTCATGAGGGAGGATCCCCGTAGATGCCCTTCCCACGCTCCAGGGTGAATACACGGCCCCCTGCATCCCCCACCAGGGCTTCCCTCCAACCCCATAGATACCGTACCTCCTCACAGACAGGACCCCAAGTCCCAGAATGGCCTCCCAGCCAGGCTGCCTCATGGAGCAGCCCAGGGGAAGCAGCAGAACTGAAGCTAAGCTCTGTTCCTCCTCCCTCAGAGTACCCCTACCTCTAATCCGTCCAGAGCCGGAGCACTGGACACTGGTGTGCCCCGTGCCCCACCCTGGCTCTGGCCGAGCCCACCTCCTCGGGCCCCCACAGCACCCCAGGCTTGCATCTTGTTCCGCGTGTTGCAGGTTTGGCCTCATTTCTAATGTTCATCCAAATACCTAGCTCTTCTGATACAGTTCCCACTCCCCACCCACACCTCGTGGCTTCTCCCTCCCACGGGCAGCACAGACTTATTAGCTGAAACCTCTTAATTCCTGAAATATAGTCCGAGCCAATTAAGAGGCAGGCCAGCCAGGCAAAGCTAGAGCACTGTTTACAAGGCGCCTGAAACACGACTGGCTGGAGAGATGTGTATTTTCCCCAGTTCCTCTCAGGAAGTGGAAGATACACTCTGCTAAGCCATTGGGGGTAGGGAGTGAAATCCCCAAGATAAACTCTTGACATGTAAATAATGACAGACTCCCAACTGCCTTCCAAGGAGGGTGGACCCAATAACCACAGGGATCCCATTTCTCTGAGTAGGCAAAGTGTGTGTGTGGGGTCCAGGCAAATGTCCAGGTGTTGGGGGTGGTGCCAGTGCCAGCGTCCTGCCCCTGCACACTGCCCTCTTGGTCCTTGTCCCCACCTCCAAAGACATTCAAAGAACAGTCTCTTTAAAGGAGGGGTGCAAATTGTTAGCCTGCCCAGTCCCCACTTACAGCACACCTGCTGGGCACAGGCCCCCACCTGTAGGGCCATGACAACCCTTCCTGTAGGCAAGGGCTTCAGAAGAGAAGGGCTTTGTGACAAGGCCCTTCAAGTAAATTATCAGCTTAGAAGTTCTCATAGATGCTATTAGAAGCTTAGAGCACAGCCTCATTTGAAACCTGCCATGAAGTCTTTAGAACAGGGACCATTTTTCCCGGGGAGAAAACTCACTTGCAAGGCTCTGAACACTCTGGCACTCAGTTACACCTCGCACTGTTGATCTGACTCATGTGGGGACCTGTGCCAAGCCCCGCACTTTAGCTACTAGTGTATGAAATTTCTAGATGGATACACGAGAAATTGATGGCATGGATCACCTGTGGAAAGAGTTGTTAAGAAACCTTTCACTGTATCTTTTGCAACTTAATAACTTGAACATATTAATTCCCAAAATTAAAACGTTAAAAACTCACCTGACCAGAAACTTTAAAAAAAATTGCTAGGTCCATCACTTCTCCAGAAATACTTGCTTAGAAAAACAAGGTGCAATGCAATTGACCTGAAGAATAAGCCAACCAGAGGCCCCGCCAAGAGGTCTTAGGGCCCCACCCCCACACCAAGGCCAACCTCCAGGCAGGAGCCCTTTCTGGCCAGCAGGTGGCGCACCTCAGAGAGAGCAGGGTACTGGAAAGATGCAGACACCCGAGAGGCAGCCGTTTCCTTGGACTCCACAATTACAAAACCTTTGATGACTGGTTCATCAAAGTCAGGCTGCCCATGTAGGTACTGGAGTCGAAGGATAGCGTCTCTTCAGATGTTAAAGAGCGAGAGAGGAGGGGTGTGGCCATTTATTACAGCCCCTAGGAGCTTTCGTCATCAAGCACAGAATTAGATTAAATCTGGATGGAACCGAGCTCCTCTGGGCAGGTCTCTTTCTTTAGAAAACACAAAGTTGGGCTCCAGGTGAAATAACAGTTGGCTGAGTTCTCCAGGCTCCCATCCCAAATCCATGGAGACATCACTAGCTGTTGTCAGGACTCTTCTGTTCATTCTCAACTGCCTTGGGTACCCACGACCCACTGATTGGAGTGGGCATTTGAGATGAAAAGCTTTGCCATCGTAGAGGAGGACTCCTCATGACACCTCCAGCACCCAACATGTCTGACTCTGTGACAGACCCCAGGCTCCTGGACCAGGAGTCTCTGGCCCACGTCCTCTCTGTGCCTGGATTCCTCTTAACAACCAAATGGTAGATGCTTAATAAATATTTGTGTTTACTCACACACGGAAGTTAGTTAGCATATGGAAACAGTCCACAGAGAAGAAAGGCATCTCAGATAGTAGGGACTCTGATCCTGCTTGGGGCCCACGGCCTCTTCCTGTCCCTGGTGACAGTACCCTGACCTTGCACCTGCGTGGCCTCATGGGGGGCTCCCAGGCTGGTGGTAGTTTTTTTGCCTATGTATGGTCTGCAGTTCAAAGGAACCCAAGGAGTGACAGTCTTTGGGGTAGCTGTCTCTCTTATGAGAGTGCTGGTGAACTTTATCAATAGTTTCCCAGCAGCACAGGATCTGCCTGGACATACATCTGAAGAAGGTCCTCCTTTGTGGGGAATTTGTAGTCTCTCGTGTAAGTGAAGAGGAAGAAGGCATGGTTGAGAACCTCCCTCTCTTCAGGGGACCCTGAGTGAGACACAAAAGCAGCTTAGAGTGCTCCTCCCAGAACCAAACATCCCAACCCACCCTGGAGGCAGAAGCAGCCAGCCCACCTGCCAGGACTGCAGAGATGTTCCAGGTGCCCAAGAACTATGAATTCACCCAGAGAGGGGTTCAAATCACCATTCCTGAATCCTAACACATTCTGACGTCACTGGGAAGGGGAAATTTTGCTTCTCCATAAAAGCAATGAGAACACTGGCAAAAATGATCAAAGTCAACTCTTTCAGAACTCTTGAAATTAACATGAGACTTGAAACTATCTGAAGAGCCTTTATTCTCAGTGAGAACAGAGTGTCACGTGGCATTTTAACCTGCCGAGTCCCATCCCTTTCTCCACATCACCAGAGTGGCCTTGGAGTCCAGCCACACCAAGCCACAGCGAAAGCCGGCAGCCCCAGCAACTCTCAACGGAGCAGACAGGTCTGTAGCTCCCCAAAGCCAACCACCAGAGAACTGGTGTTCTCAGACCTGCCCGGCCATCCCGTGGAAAACCCACCCATGGGGCTGATCTTTATTTGACCTGATTCAGAGCTCACTCCTTATAATTCTTCTTTACCTCACGGTATTTGTCAAAAAAAGGGGGGGGTTGTTGAACACTGTAGTTGCCTAAGGCACTAATAACATTTGAGGGGAAAAGATGCTTACCAAAAAAACTTAAGGAAAAGCTAAGTAATATTCATAGGGACTTTGAAAAGCCCAGACAGATGCCTGGGAATCTAGGAAGCCTCATTCACGTGCAGGGCTGTGCACGTGCCCGGCAAACACCTGAGACAGCTGTAAGTGCTCACCTCCGACTGACCCCGAAACCCTGCACAGGCAGGAACACAAGGCTACAGCAGACATGAAATCTGCCTGCCAGGACATTTAATGTGCACCTCAGCTTTACACAGAGCTCCTTGGTAAAGGCTGGGAGACGTACTTGTCCAAGAAGTTTATGGAAATCCCTGACCAACCCGTAGTGGACCATTAAGCAAACTGAGCAGAGATTTCAGTGGCCACGTACACTGAAGAATACGTGCACTGCAGGAATGGCAGGGAAGGTGATGAACCAACAACAACAACAAACAAACAAAAAAACAAACCCCAGGTCACAGGGAGCGAGCCAGGATCTGATTTCCAGAATTGCCAAATTATACCCTTCAAAATGTCCAGTTTTTGACACATATGGATCAATGGAACAGAAGACAGTCCAGAAATAAACCAAAACTTTTCATCAATTAAACTTTGACAAAGGAAACAAGAACATATAATGAGTAAAGACAGTCTCTTCAGGAAATGGTGGCAAAACTAGACAGCTGCATGTAAATCAGTGGAGTTAGAACACCTCCGCATACCACACACAAACATAAACTCAAAATGTCTTGAAGAATTAAATATAAGACAAGACATTATAAACCTTGTAGAAGAAAACGTAGGCAAAATGTTATCCAACATAAAGATCAACAATGTTCTCCTAGCAAAATCTACCCAAGCAACAGAAACAAAAGCAAAAACAAATGGGACCTAATTCAATGTATAAGCTTTTGCACAGCAAAGGAAATCATGAGCAAAACAAAAAGCCAGTCTACAGAATGGGAGAAAATATTTGCAGAAGATGAGACTGACAAGGGCTTAATCTCCAGAATATATAAACAGCTCATACAACTTGATAAGAAAAAAACAAACAACCCAATCCACACATGGGCAAAAGATCTAGACAAGCAATTCTCCAAGAAAGGAATAGATGGCCAATTGGCTCATGGAAAAATGCTCAGTATTGCTAATTATCAGAGACATGCAAATCAAAACCACAAGGCCATATCACCTCACAGTGGTCACAATGGCCATCATTCAAAAGTCCGCAAGTGATAAATGCTGTAGAGGGTGTGCAGAAAAGGGAACCCTCCAACACTGTTGGTGGGAATGTAGTTTGGTGCAGCCATTATGCAAAGCAGTATGGAGAGTCCTCCAAAGACTAAAAATAGACTTACCATATGCTCCAATAGTCCTACTCTGGCATATATCCAGAGGGAAGCTTAATTCACAAGGTCACAAGCATCCCAACATTCACAGAAGCACTATATACAATAGCCCAGACATGGAAACAACCTAAATGTCCATCGACAGATGACTGGATAAAGAAGCTGTGGTATATTGATACAGCAGAATACTACTCAGCCATAAAAAATAATGAAATAATGCCATTTGCAGCAACATGGATGGACCCAGAGAATGCCATTCTAAGTGAAGTCAGCCAGAAAGACAAAGAAATATACCACATGATATCACTTATTTTTTGAATTGAAAAAAAGAAAAAGAAAAAATGACAAATGAACTTATTTACCAAACAGAAACAGACTCGGAGGCAGAGAACAAACTTATGGTTACTAGAGGGAGAGGGTGTCAGAAGGGATAAATTGGGATTTCTAGATTTGCAAGTACTAACTATTATATATAAAATAGGTAAACAAGTTTATACTCTATAGCACAGGGAACCATCTTCAATATCTTGTAGTAAGTTATGGTTAAAACTAATATGAAAACGAATATATGTATATTCATGTATGAGTAAGTGATTGTGCTGTACACCAGAAATTGACAGAACATTGTCAACTGACCATACTTCAATAAAAATGTATATAAAAATTAAAATTAAATAAATAAGTAAATAAAACAACTTATGAATGACTCTCAGAGCTGTGATATTTCAAGCAAACGGGAGCCCGGTTTCAGCCAGAGCGGGCAGCTTCCAGGCCGTGCAGCACCAGGTGCCTGGTATTCTGCCTTTGGAGGGGGGCGACACTGGGGATCCGACTGGAAGCGGGGAACTCACCAGCACTTCCAGGAATGGCAGGTGCTGTGAAGAAAACGCAGCAGGTGGACGTGAGAGCAGCAGGCTTCTTTAGCCCAGGGAGCGTCTCCATGAAGAGAACCCTCCTGAGCTGAGACCTTTGTGACTACCGGAGGTGGCCGTGCCCTGACTTCACAGCCAGAGATCTTCCTGGAGGAGCAAAGGCTGGAACTGGAGATCTTATCCAACCCGATGCACACTCAATGGGCAAGAGGAGGGTATTTCTCTAGAATCAAAGGCCCCTCTCTGCTCTCCCCAGAGCACAGGCTTTAGCAGAGGAAGGGTGGGGCCCCAAGGGGCCCGTCCAGGCAGGGGCATGGTGGCTGTGGGCAGGCCTCCGACACCCACCAGAGCCTCACACAGGCCCTGCACACCAGCACGGGGCCTTGGGCTCCAAGGCTTGAGGGGGCTCTGGTGTGGCAGGCCAATGCAGCAGTTCAGGACGTCTTTCTCAAACTGTTTTGCGAAAGGAAGACAGAGGCCATGACCAAGTGTTTGCTCCACGTCAGAAACTTAACACATACCCCTTAATTTGCACCTCACAATCACCCAGTGGGACGACCCCGCTCCGGGCACAGAACTCCGCTCATGGGCTCACCAAGTCTCCCCAGCATGGAAAACTAGAAGCCACTTATATGTCCATCTATAAAGCAGAGCTAAGTAAGCCCACAGAGCCGGGAGGCGGGGTATTACACATATTACCGTTAAAAACGTACCAGAAGGGATTTTACTACCACGGCGAAAATTCCTTTGTGATCAAGTTAATAAAACAGACTACAAAGCTTGCATATATAACATTTTCTCAACTCTGTACGCGTTAGGAATAGAAAAAAGAATGACAGGATAGATGCACAAGGTCCTACTGCACAGCACAGGGAACTGTATTCAATGGCTCGTAGTAACCCATGATGAAAAAGAACATAAATATAAAATAACTGAATCACTATGCTGTACACCAGAGACTAACACAACATTGTAAATCAACTGTTCTTCAATTAATTAAAAAAAAAAGAAAACACACTAGAATGTTAAGTCATTATCACCGAGGGAAGAGAGTATTTCATTTCTTTCCATGTTTATCTTCTAAGTTGTGGAGGTCTTTTGTGATAAACACATGTGTTACTTAAAAAATTCTATTGATGTATTTATTTCAAACTACTTTGTCAAGATATAATTTACATCCCATAAAATTCACCCTTTAAGCTGGATGATTCAATGGTCTTAGGATATTTACAGCGTTGAAGTCCACAGGTTACTTCTGTAATCTGAGAGGGCAACTGCCAGAATAAAAGGAATGGCTAGTCACCTTCATCCCCCAGAAGGAGTCTGGGAGAGTTCCGTGGTTACAGTTCTTTGGGGTTCGTCACCCCTTGATTTTCTCCGAGGGGCAGTTACCTAGGATTCGGCTGATTCCGTCCTCCCCGCCCTCCTGTGGTCCTCATTCTGGCTGTCTCCTTCCTCTGCTGACGGCTGCCCCCGCCTCCTGTGCCCACCTCTTCCATCTAGTTTCCCTCCACCTCCTCGCCTGTAAGTAGCGGCGGTAACTGGGCCCCGGGGTGGGGGAGACTGAGGATGAAACAAGAGGATGCACGGGAAGCATTTTGCAGAGCACACACAGCAGGCCTCACGCGTGGGGGTCAGTCCCCCTCCTGTCCTGTCCGGGATGTCCAGACCCAGGGAGAGGAGGGGCAGCCAGGTGGCTGTATAAAGCATGGCAATTTCCAGAAGCTTTTGTTGCAAAAGGTGGTGAGAGGAAGGTGGGAAGTGTCTGGCGCCTGACTCCTCACCACTGGATTTGTGACTTTAGAGCCAAGGGGCCCTTGCTCCTTCCACACTGCTGCTCTGCCTCATGGCTGCACGGAGACGTCCATCCTTCCACTGAACAGAGGCCTCCAGACCAAGGTCTTCTAATAAAATCTGTTTTAGAAGCTCTTTATCTACACCAATGTTCCACTTGTCATGGGGCTTCCCTGTGAGTAATTATCAAGTGGCTTGTTCTTTGACGAACACACTGGGAGGCGGGGGCTGGCAGGGAGCAGAGGGGATGGGAGAGGCCCTAGACCCAGCTCTGATTCCGCCACTTGTCTGCACGTTCATGGGGGGGGCGGTCACCCCTCTCTGGGTAAGTGCCACATGTGTGGGGCTGGGGTTTGACTTGAGGCTCACAAACCTCTCTCCATAACTTTTACTGGCGACTACCTAGCGAAACAATGGGGCCTGGCCCAGACACAGGATGACATGTTCATTACCTGGCCACAGTTCCCGGTCTTTTCTTGGACAGAGTCAGTACAACACATGGAACGGGAGCCCGCGTTGTCGAGCATGAAGTAGTCATTCCACTCCGCCTCATCCGCCATGAAAGCCGCATCCTCCGAAGCCAGAGCACACGTGCACGTGGGGTCATCATCTGCTCCCCGGGTATGGGCAGGCCTGTCACAGGAAGCTGCCTGGCCTGTGGGGAGGTCCTGCCAGGTCTCCACGAGGGGCTGGAAACAGTGAGTGTTGTGGGGTGGGACATGGGAGGCACGAGTTAAGACAGGCACCAAAAAGATGCTCACCTCCTGAGCCAGCTGTGAGGGGCTGCCCCTGGGCGAACGCGGCACAGACTCGGCACAGACATAACTGACCGGGAATGGACTGTAAACCACTGGGAACAAAGGAGACCCACGAGTCCACACAGATCTACGGATAGGAGAGCAAAAAGGAAAGAAAGACAGGGTGAGGGCAGGGCTCTGCTTACAGGAGAATGCCAGGGGCCAGCAGGTGAGCGTGGAGGGAGAGCTGGAGTTGGAAAATCACTGTGTAACCATCAGAGACAAGGCTGGTGAGGCAAGAGCTGTCAGGGGTTGGTAAATCCAGGGGTGGAGAATCTTGATGAGGACATTCTCATGGCTTTCAAGTTTCTACATACACACTACTTATTAGTTACGAAGGAAATAATAGTAATTAGATAGCAAAGAAACTGGAAAACACTCGGACCAAATGATCAAATTTAACATCCCCACTGAGGGGCAGGGGACACTGTGTCTCCAGCTGTGATGTCCTGAGAACGACACATCACTTGCGTAATATTCCAGCTGGGGAGGCATCACCTGGATTGAAAGATGATGAATCAGTCAAACCTCAAATGATGAACATCCTAGTCAAAAAAAAAAAAAAAGGCAGGGAGAGGCTCTAATTCTTAAAAAAGTCACTGTACAAAAAAAAAAAAAAGGCTAAGAAATGCGGAAGAGTGGTTCCCGATTAAAGGAGATAGAAAGACATGACAACTGAGCACAGCACATGACCCTGGCCTGGATCCTGTACCAAAGGGAAAAAATGTTATGAAGAACATGACTGACCCACGACGAAGTGGGAATTCCTGTGAGTGGATGAGTTAGTGTTATGTCAACACTGAATTACTGACGCTGGTAAGAGCGGAGCAATAAGAAACTCCTGTTCTTAGGAACTAGGCGCTGAAACGTTTAAAAAGAGCTATAGTGCTCGTAACTTACTCTCAAATGGTTCAAAAATAAAGTGTGTGCACGTGTGCGGGGGGGCGCGGCGGGGGCGGGGGGGGAGATGAAGCGAACAGGGCAAGGCGTTTGCAGCAGGTGGATCTGGATGAAGGGCCTGTGGGTGTTCTCTACACCGTTTTTGCCTACTTTTCTGCAGCTTTAAATGATTTCCACAACAAATTAAAAAACAAAAAAGAGCCCTGTGGTTTCTAGCTTGTACAGCTGATGGTTTCCAGCTCACAAGGCCTGCAGGAGGACAGCAGGAGTAGAGAAGGGCTGGTGTCGAATGTGCCGCAGGTGAGGCTGCAAACGGGTGTCCAGCTGCCCCAAGAGAGAGGCTGGCGCTGGTCGGGGGAGAAATGCGCTCCAGGGGCCTTTGCATGAAGGTTCCGGTGGAGTCGCAGGAAGGAAGGAAGGGGCAGGGCCAGCGACCCTGGAGAGGAGAGAGGAGACCTGAAAGAGCACAGGGTTCCCAGAAGGAAGGAAACACCAGTCAGGAGTCAGGCCCTGCACCTAGAGGAGACAAATAAGAAGTTGAGGTGACCCACCTATGAGGGCAGCTCTGTACAGGGGTGGAAGCAAAGGCCAGCTGGGGTGTGGGCTCAGGCAGGGGAAGAGAAGTGAAACGGCCAAGGAGCTCAGCCCCAGAGAGGATGCTCCAAAGCTGCCTGTGATCTGCCCCGGGGTCAGGTGCCTTCACCTGTTTGCAAATACCTGGGGAGCGAGCAAAGCTCACAGACCATGCGGGGCATTCAGTAGGCGCTGCTGCTTGCCTCCCCGCATGCATCTTGCTTGACACACTTCCCAACCGACCTGAGTTTCACGTTATCTTCACACCACGGGTTGAAGCAAACACCAAAATGTGTCCTTCAGGCTCAAAGACATGCTTGTTTCCACTTTCCACTAGCGGGTGGCAACTGCCCACGGTGGCACCGGGTGGAGGGCTGCTGACCGCATCTCGACCTAAGCAGAGAGACAAGACGTGGTGGACACATCCCCCTTTGGCCACACTCTGAACCCCACGAATGCCTCCCAGAGGAACCCATCAGTCCTAAGACATCACTTCATCTGGAGGAAACCCGTGTCGCCCGGAGACCGATAGTGGCCAGGGCGACCTAGGGTGGCCGGCGCACGAGCCAGAAGACTTTGGCAATTCCCTTGATGGCCAAGACAGACTCAAGTCAAAGCCTGGAAGGTGTTTTCACCTTCGCCCTCTCTGAGCTTCACCCCAACACTACAGCCTGGAGACGAAGCCCCCTCCCTGGTGGCTGGGACGATTCCACAGCTAAGACGAACGTGAGGGGCCTGGCCCAGCACTGGCACTTCAGGAGCAAGTTAGATGTCAGCTGCCTTTTACAGCAAAAAAGTAGAAAGTAAAAGCAAAAAAATACGCTCTGTGCTGGAACACAAGTAGCCAGAGCCCCAGAGGGCGTCAGTCCCAGGGCGCCCCAGGCTTTAGGGCAGATGATGGCTGGACGGCTCGTTAGGATAAACAGATGTTGCTGAAGCCACAATGGCTTGTCACTGTCACAAACACTTGTTTGTGAGCCAGAAGCCCCCCTAAAACCTGTGAGATGCTTCTTACTGTAAGTTACCTCACAGGAGCAGCGGGCTCTAGGTTCCTATCCCAGCTCTGCCTCTAACTGGCTGTAGGGCCTTAGCCGTTTTACCTCTTCTGTGCCTCATTTTCCTTAGATGCTTGCAACGTAGGACTATGAGATATTTCCATGTAGTAGCTCACTTAACTATCTTTAGTATTTTGCTGATGGGAAAACTGAGGCTCAGAGAGGTGGCGCAGGAGGTGAAGTGGGGACAGGACGCCCCCTGACACGGCTCTACAACTTCCTTTCAGCTCCCCACGGCTCCGACCCCCTGCAGCAGGAGGGAGGCACTGAGACCCTGCCCCCAACCCACTGGGCAGCCGACCCCACGACTGGTCCACGACGGGCCTGGGCTCCGGAAGGGGCTTGTCCTGGCACCAGCAGGAAGACTGTGACAACATTTCTGTTCCCCTAAGCAGCAGGGCAGACCGTGGTTTTGCCTTCTTGGCTGTCCCCCAGCACTGCCCACAGCAGGCCCTGCGTGATACAAAGGCGTGGTGCAGGGGGCCTTCCAGGATGTGGGGCATGTGCACCTGGGCCTGGGGGCTGGTTCCATGGGTGTGTTTATATGTAAAAATACATCATGGGCACAGTTAAGATACACATCCTTCATATGTGTTACACAAGAAAAAAAATTTTAAATAATACTTATGTTGAAGAAATACAGCTCCTTCCCCACCCAGTTTCCACCACTGGGGCGTAACCATGATGTCAACATTCCCACAGGCTTCTTACAAAAACGGAGACTTCCAGATGAGAGAACATTTCAAGAGCCTTTTCATAAAGAGATTTTCACGAAAACTGAAAAACACTCAAATGCTGCAAAACCAGGCTTGAGAGTCTGGGGTCTGGACAGGAAGCCAGCAGGTAGCCCACTCACTGCCTCATCTCCAGCTGCAAATTCTACTTCTCAAGGAATCCAACAGCGTTGCCATTTCAAAATCCTGGAAATAAAAAAAAAATCCTGTAATTAACCTAGCAATTAAATTTCTGGGATTTGTCCTCCAGAAATATTCACAGGCTAGTCCAGAGATCTGATGGGTTACTACAACACTGAAAAGACTGGACAATCATAAAAACCGCATGTCCCCCCAGAGGGGAACAGGGTGACTGGCCACCACCAGCCAACCAGCTGGAGCAAGAAACCACTGTGAACAGTTCTCTTGTAGGGGGACCACTAGACAAAAGGTGAACATTCACAACACCTTGTCATGTGAATGGAGAGAGAAACAAAAAAACACTTCTATCTTTGTACTTAAACATTTATATAGTCATAGAAAAAAGACTGGAAACAAAGACTGACAGCTGTTAATTGGTGGCATGATGGAGTTTTCGTATTTACTTCTTGCTCATTTATTCCAGGGAATGTTGTTCCTTCTGAAATGAAAAGGGGAAAAAGTGAAATGTAGGAGGTGTGACCACAGTCGGAGCTACTGAGCCTTGGGAAGGGTGAGGGAGAAAGAGACGTTGGGAGGCGCAGCCCTGGCTCCACTCTGCTGCGCTGACTCAAAGTCCTCTATCAGGGAACTATATTCAGTATCTTGTAGTAACTAATGGTGAAAAAATATGAAAATGAATGTGTGTGTTCATGTGTAACTGAACCATTGCACTGTACACCAGAAGTTGACACAACACTGTAAACTGACTATACTTCACCAAAAATATATATACAACAAAAAAGGTCTTCTGTCATCCCTGAGATGTTTAGGCCTCTTGGAAAGGAAGCGCAGGTGTCACCGTGGGTGGGTGGCCTCCCCCTGAAAGCAGATGGCCCACCTGGTCTGGGCTCAGGAACTGAAGGCATCATGGGAATGAATACTCAGCAAGGAAAAGGCTCCTCACATTAGGTAAGGAACCTGCCCAAAGCCAGCCAGCCACGCAGTGTGCCAGCCCCTAGGCCCTCACCTCCACACTGGACTCACCGAACTGTCACCTGCCAGGGACATTTCTCAGATGACCTTGGGCAGAGCTGCACCATCATGTTGTTGGAAACACCATGGGGCACAGAGTCTTGACCTTGGCTCCAGGAGAAACTCTCCTGCTTCAGGGACACGTCCTGTCCCCACAGTGAGGCACTGCCCCTCAGCACCCCGGTGTCCTCAGCCTCCTGAGGCCCCTCAACCTGCAGCCTTTCCCCAACCCACGTTACCTCTCCCGCCAGGTCCTCAAGGCTTCCCTCTGCCCCAAACGTCCAGTGTTCATCTTTTGCTCAGTCTGGAATAATCTCCTCTGCCTTCTGATCTCCACACCTTCCCCGATCACCTGGGGTCCGGGGGAGCCCAGGCCTCCCTCTTGCCTCCGTGTGTGAGAAACACTTTCAGGTGCCCCCGCCGCGTCTGTTACCTGCCCCCATCTGCGTTGGGTTCCTGCCTGTGCAGCCCCCACCGGGCTCTGCTCAGAGGCACAGCCTCGCTCACTCACTCTGGGCCTCCAGTGCCAGCAGTTTAGCCTGTTTCAGCTGGAAGAGGTGGATGCCACCACCAACCCTGCCAGATGTCAGAGGACCTTTTTAATAAGCATTGGTCAGGCTACATCACGACCTCCCTATTGCTGTTGGGGTCTAATCCAACCCCTCCCCGTCACTGGCACGTGGCTCTCCACGCCGCTTCTCCAGCCCCTCCCTTACCTCCCTGCCACAACCAGTCTCTGGTCCTCAGTCAATGCTGGCAGCCAGTGTGGCCTCCTTGGGAGCCGTGTGCTTGCTGTACCCCTGTTGGGAACCCTGCTCTCAGATCTTTAGTGGCGGCTCCTGCATGGGGTGTGGGTCGCAGCAGGGAGGCCACCTTCCAGGAAAGCTTCCTGCCCCACTGCTGTCTCTTCGGCTACAGGACCCTCTTGCTTTGGTTTCTTCAGCCCACATGTCTCTGTCTGAAATGAGCTTGTACTCTTGTTGCCTTTCCGTCCAACTCTCTCCACCAGGATGGGCAGGGCCTCTGGATTCCCAGCAGTGAGCGGGCCCCATTACCTACGATCACAGGTGTGGCGTGTTAATCACTATTCCCCACCTGCCTCCAGCCCACGCAGCCATGGCATCAGCAACCCTCAGCCCTAGGATTCATCTCTAGAAACGCTACAGACCCTCTAAAGCAGCTGCCCCACTGAGTTTCTTTTCTCTCTTCTCTGCCTCTACCCTAGCCGTGCCCCCTGCCCCGACCAAGGACCCAGAGCATCTGAGGACGGCGGCTCACCACAGGCCAGGCTTGCCCTCCACCTCCCACTCCATCTTCACCACACCCCGTGTTATTCCCACTTTACAGATGGGGAAACTGAGGACTAGGGAGGTGCAGAATCAGACCCACATGGTCAGGTCCCCGAGCCCCGCGAGCAGATGAACCTCAGGTGTGCAGCCCCAGGATGGCAGGGCCACAGGTAAACACCAGAGAGGAATTTGCATGTCTGGCATCTCCTTTTGGGGGAAGAAGGCATGGAGAAACTTCAGATCTGTCCGCAACACATCAGGCGATAAAGAAAAAGAAAAGAGAATTTCATTCCCCAGTTGTCTCTTTCTGGCTTCTAAACCTGACAGTGTGGTGAGGCAGAGCGGGCTTCCACCCAGGCTGTGGGCCCAAGACCCCGTTTCCTCCCCTGCTGAGACTAACGGGCATCCAGGGCTCAGCCCAGCTCTTTGGCTGCCCCCACCCCCACACCCTTTCCCAACCAAACTTGGGTCCGCTCACGCACACGAAGGACAGCCAACTTACCGACCCTGGGTTGCGGTGAAGGAAAACACAGCGTTTACCACAAAGCAGCCAACGTGGGGCCAAGCAAGAACAGGCGGCTCGTTCGCCAACCCAAACACCCTGACGGCTTTCAGGAAAGGGTTTTTAAAGGCAAGATGAGGGAGATGGTCGTGGGGGTGTGTGATCAGCTCGTGCACAATCTGATTGGTTGATGCTGAGGTCACAGGGGTCAGTATTAACAGTCCTCAGGCCCAGCTGGTCTGGGGGCTGGGCTACGAGCCGGCAGTCAGCGTGCAGTTAACTCCTTCCACCTGGTGGGGGTTTCAGTCTACAAAACAGCTCCAGGATGTGGCTCAGAATATTATCTATAGCCCTCAAGGAGGAACTAAAGGTCCTTGACTTTCTTTTACAGCTAAGCTATTATTACTTTGTCTTGCTTGACTATTTTCCTTTGTTTCTGTATTTCTCTGATTAAATTGGCTCTTTGGAACTCGGGGAAGGCCTCTGAGGCTAAGGCTTTTCTACAAACAAGAGGCAGGGACATGGCGGGGAGGCCAGGGGTGTCTGTCCCTGGGAGGGCCCCACGGGCTCCTGCTTGGTTTCATCTACTGGTCCCCTTTCTGGCCACAGGAACAAAGCCACAGCCCAAGTGGTCTCCATAATTAATACAGAAGCCACAAAGAGCTGCCCACAACTCCTGAGACCAGAAGGGTCAGCCCAGACTGACCAGCTGCAAACCCGACCCCACCCTGAGGCAGGAGAGCACATCCTGGAGAAAACGGCGAGAGTGGAAAGCGGCCCTCTTACCCCAATACAGGAGGAGGCACGAAGGAGCTCCCGGCATCCCAGTCCAAGGCCTCCTGTGTTATGAGATTTTTCCCCTCGATGCTAAAATGCAAAGCACGTGCACCGAAAGAAAGAACCTCCACCTGTGTGCACACGTGCACACACCCATTTCCCTTATTTCTCACCGCTGTTACAATAAAAAATGTTGTGTTCCCTCAGCTTCAGAACCAACCCCCTCCTCTTTATCCAGAACTCAAGCTCATGGTCACAAAAGGGAGAGGGTCCAGTAAAATGCCCTGGGGGTGGCTCGGCTGCTATCGCCTTGCCCTACAGCAGCAACAGTGAGGCTGGAGCTGCGGTTCTCAGTCCTGGCTGCACGCTGGAATCACCAGGACCTGTGAAAGAAACCCGATGACGTCCGGCCCCAGAGATTCTGATGCAGTTGGTCTGGGGCGGCCTGAGCACCTGTATTTTCAGAGCCGCTCAAGTGATTCCAGGACGCAGCTAAGTCTGAGAACTGCTGGCTAAGAGTGACTCATACAAACCAGGCAGGGCCCCGCATGAGAGGGGCCTGGGATCACCCAGAAGGCAGGCCCACCCCCAGGGCGTCTGATCCAGTAGGTCTGGGTGTGGCCGAGAATTTGCCTCTCGAGCAGGTTTTCTGACACCGTGGGTACAGGGACCACACTTTGAGAACCGCTGGACAAGACCCCGCCAGTGTGGTCGGTGAGGGGAAGTGAGGCAAGATGCGGGGGCTGGCCCGGGGCTCCACAGATGAAGCCCATTCTCTGCTGAGCATGGAGCCGGTGATGGAAACGTGGGCTTCTTTGAGGACAGAATGGGCAGGGTGGTCACACCTCCTACAGGGCCGCCTGGAGTCTGGCACAGTGAGCTTGCACCAGAGGCTGTGTGTAAGGGCTTTGCTCCCAGCTTGCCGCCTTCCCTCCGACATGCTCCTCGGGGGCCTGTGGCTCCAGGCCAGGGGAGGACCCTCCGACAGACAGACCCGGGCCCACGGCTGCGTGGGGCTGGGAGCTGCACATCCCCAAGGGTCTGCCTAGCTCTCCTGCTGTGGGAGCCGGAGCCACCAAGGAAAGGTCATGGCTGGAAAAGGGATGTAGCAGGCCTGCCCACATTCTGACCCACTCCTGCTCTCTCATGTTGGGGCAGGCCAACCTGCCCAGCAGGGGACAGGGGTGGGTCAGGCTTTGGTGCCAGGAGGCAGGGAAGAGGGGTTCACATGTCCAAACCCAAAGAGATGTGGGATTAATGCACTGGAGACACTTGAACTCGAACCTCCCCCGTCAAATCAGCAAGTTCTTTCCATCACACCTGACTGCCCTTTTTGGCCTCAAGGCCTTTTGCCCTCCACACCTGAGTTTAGGTGAGAGTCAGCCACCAGAGAGGAACTCATAACCCCAAGAGTCAGATTCCTTCTTCAATGTCCCTCCATGAAAAGAGAAGCTGGGAGCCTGGAGGGTCTGACCTTGTTTGCCTGCAGCTGCTCAGAGTAGCCTTCCTTGCCTACAATGCAGCTTCTCAAGCCAGAGGCAAGCCTGCTGAACGATGCCCGCCAGGGGGTCATGGGGGCTCAGAGGCTGAGGAGCTGCAGGCATCGAATCATTTGGGGTACCTGGGTAAAGGTTATATGGGGAGTCTCACTATTCTGTTTCTGTAAATGAGATTATGCTGAAATAAAAAGGTCTTTTTGGGGGATAAGACAGGAAACAGTGCAGGGCTGAATGGCCACTGTTTGGAGTGAGAGGGTGATGGCCCTGGACACCCTCCAGAGGACAACCAGGACCAGCCGGCTGAGACAAGAGGCGCCCGGAGATTTCACCACCCCCACGCTGGCTGTGCCCCCCGATCTGCTCAGCTGCTTTCCTGTACTCACCGGGGGAGGTTCCAGCCCTGATGCCCCGTGCTCTCCCGGAGTTGGTCCCCAGCGGAGGGAACAAGCTCCTACTATGTGGTCCTGGATTAGACGTGATCCTGCCCTGGCTGCCAAGAGTGGAGCTTTGGAAAGCGGCATTGATTAGAAACAATAAAACCTCGGAACCTTCCATATCAGACCTAGGAAACCAGGAGCCAAGATGAGCCAATTTAAAAAAGCAAGAATTAATGCTGTCTTTTTT